TAGCCGTGCCCGGGTCCCGAGACTCATGCGAAATGGAGTGGCATCTTTCACTCATCGGACTTCGGCCACGACTGTGGCCGGTACTCGCAATCCTTGTGCTGTGGCCAGACCAATCTTTTTGGATCACACGCCGTCACCCGCGGTGTATTTCTGCAGCTTGAAGGACATTTGGTAGGCTTCACCTTGAAATCAAACTTCTATGTTTCCCGAATGCGTCGCACGTGGAGGCGTGGAGGGGGGTTCGCTGGACGTCGCGCATCCGCTCGCAACCGTCCGCAAGTAACCGAGTGAGGTCCCTATGGCCGTTCTGGCGCGTGTGATGTGGCAGGCTGAGGGGTAACTGCTCACGAAGCGTCTCGTGGAGGCTCTGAGATGTGGTAAGTCAAGGGGAGCTGCGCGCGAGGGGTGTTTCGGAGGATCCTAGGTGTGGCAATCTAATGTGCACGAGGCATGGCCTCGAGCATTCGGGGATGTGGCTAGCGGCTAGCGGCTAGCTAAGCGGGAGACCCTAGAGCAGAGAACCGGAATATCGCCACATATCCCTCGTGCTGAGCTCGAGCTGTTTGCAACAGAACATGGGCAGGTGCCTTGTGCGATTTGACCTTGCCACCTGTCGATGTTTGTGCACGAAGCTCCAGAAACAGATGCGGCTGTCTTGGTTGAGGCATGATGCGTGTAGAGGTATGTGCGCAAACAGCGTCAAATCCGCGACCTGCCAGTAAGCTGACTCATATGAGGCAGTCTGGTAGCCGTACATGTTGGTTGGTGGCTGTGTATTTCATTTTTCCTGATGCATCATCGCACCGCAAGATGGGGTCTCGAAAGCGAGCGCAGCAATGGCGTAAGCTGGCGCGGACTGGTTGCGTCGCTTGTCAGCTGCTGGGCTTGGCGTCCTCGCGGCCTTGTCGCTGCATGCCCAGTTTCCTGCACTGTCTTCAGCTGGGGCATGTTGGTGCGTTGCTGCGGCCGCTGCTAGACTGCTAGACGCTGCGCTTGCATTTTGTGCAATGCGTGACATCGCCGTGGCTGGGATTGAGCGAAAACATCTGCTAAACTAATCCGCGCGGCTGGGTGAGACTTGCTACACATGTTGCTTTTTCGTCTGTTCTCATGCAATCTTCCCCAGCGTGGGCTTGGTGGCAAGGCTGCCCAAAAAAAACGGCGCCTGGCGCTGCGTCGACAGATCTTTGCTCCGGTGGCGATGTTCTCGCGGGGTCGCCAACCTGGGCGAAGTGGGTGCAAAGGCGCGCTCTGCAGCCATACAAGCCGCACGCAAGTTTTCGCATTGACCTGCTCTGTCCTGCTGAGCATCACGTCGGAAAAGCAACCTCTGATAGTAAAAGGAACAGTAAAGTTCTGCAGTACGTAGGGCGCCATGTGTTTCAAAAGTGGAGCGTTGAAGTGTCGAATGTTCAGCGTTGGTGCATTCTGGAGTGTAGAGTGTGCATTTCGAGGTGGGGATTTTGGAGTGTCGAGGTACATAGATCACGTTGCTCCGGTGTCTGCGGTTCAACCGGATATGCCTTCTATAGTTCTTTATTCTCCTGACATGGGCTGGACCACGATGCGGTGGCGCTTCAATAATCTCCAATATATCTTGCTCTGGTGGCGGTTAAAACCGGGCTCAGCCAGATGTTGCAACATCTACGTCATTAAGAGACGTGTGAGCAGACGGGCGCATGGGCATCTTGTTTTTCAGAAGGGTCTACCAATCAGATTCATTTTGGAAGTTTGCCTTAGGGCTCCTTGTTCCAAGAAGGAGTCGAAGAGATTGGAGTAAGGTTCTTGGTTTCTTCTTGACTGCCGCGGGTTTGTCGAGTTTGTGCTCCGTGCACTGATACGAATGCTGCTAAGGGCAAACGTCGTTCTGGACAACATGTACAATGCCAAGCTGTGCGATTTTGGGACGTCTCAGCGACAACTTCAGACTGCTTCAGCCAGTTGGGATTAAAGAACTTCCAGCTCCGCGCGCTGATTTGCTAAGGTTCATGGTCGACGACTTCATCGAGCCATGCGGAGGCACCCTTCCGTATTTGGCGTGGGTGGCCTATAACGTCTCTAGACGCGTTGCAGTAGGTAGGTGCTGTCCGGGGTCTCAGAGCGCAACATTTGATATTCCAAGGCCAGAAAGTGCCCCCGTGTTTCGTGGAGAGACGGTGAAGGTGACAGAGAAGGCCGCAGCTTTGTAGGTTTCGGGGCGACGTGCTGCTGGGAGAGCTTTGTGCGACTGTGTTCGCGCCATGGAGGCGGATGTGTGGTCGCTGGGCAACTGCCTTGGCTGCACCACATTGCTGTCCAGCCATTTCATTTGTTATGGTCGTATACACCACGAGGCTGCGTGCTCAATGAAGCACTCGGGGGGCCACGGCCGCATGCCGAGTGCCGAAACCCGGAGCAGCTCATCGCCAAGGCTTTATACGCGTGTTGTCGTACGGTCGTACCGGGGTCTTCCACGCAGGTGGTTGAGCGACGGCTGCCCCCAAGACTCCCAGAGTTCCTTCCGGCGCGAACGGTCGCCGCACTGGCGTGATTCCAAAAGTATTCAAAGGTCCTTCTGTTCTTGTCTTCGAGTTTAAGCACTGGCAGGTCTGCCAGTGCCTCATCGTGGATTCATTGTCCAGGGCTGGGGCCCGCACTGTCCAGGGCCTAGGAATAGAAACGCAGATCATGGGATCTGACTGCTCCATGCATCTGATTCTGGAAGCGCCTGGCATTAGTATAGGTGCTTTCCGGCATCCGCCGCTGGGACTTTACAGGCGCCGGCAAGTCAAGGAAAAACATGTTGTGTTGCAAGGTACCATTCCAAGACCATTGGTAGGCAGACTTCGGGGAGCTTCGTCGATTCGCGGGATTTTCAGCCAGGCGACGGTGCAAGGGCACTTCGGCGAGGTGCCCGGCAGCCTGGACGAAGCCGTCAAGCCCTTAGAGTTGCAAGGATTTCAGATCTTCAGAGTTTCGATATTCAGCCACGCGAAACGTAAGACTTTGAGAGCGCTCCTGAATGTGAGGTTGAAGTCATTTTCGAGCTCGACGAGTGCGAGTGGGAGGTTCCGGACCCAGGCTTTGCACCACAAGTAGCAAAAAGAACAACAAAGCCTAAGGCCAATGTGCTCCTATTCGCATGCGATCACCGTTTCGTGGAGGGCTCAGCTCTCTGCGTTGGGCTGCAGCTGCCGGTGTGCAAGTGCCAAAATTCCCAGTCACACTCTCCAATTACGTTTGCCTGTTGCTTGGAAGCACTTTCGGAGACATTCGCCCTTCGTTGTGCCTCACTTCCCAGGGCGCCGGCACCGAGCTGACGACCGAGCAAGTAAGAAGCTACGAGAAATGCTGGCAGGTCTGCAAGGCCAGAAGTTTGGGCGCGACCCCTATGGCAAAAGACAGCAGGAGTGACGAATCAGAGGATGCAGATTCAGCTTTGAAAGCCGTGTGAAGATTTGGACGCTGTTGCCTCGCTTGTGCTTCGACATGTGCGACCGTCAGCACTTTCACCATGTTACCGCGCCTGTGTGGCTTCTTTTTAACACTGGCACACTTCTCGCGCGCCCGAGACGTGTGCCCCTCCGACACGGCGTTCCCTTCGAAATCTTTGCTGCAAAAGTCGTGGTACCCCTCCGCCACAGCTCTCTCACATCCGGTACAGCCGAGAGCAAGCGGGGCTAGCACACTTTGGACACGTCAATCGGGATCTTGACCATCTTGATAACGATGCCACGAAGCTTGAGGAAATCAACCGAGATCTTGACTACGAAGCCACAACACTTGAGGTATCCCTTGAGGTATCCCAACGAGGATAATAATTGACCACGAAGCGACAAAACTTGAGCTAACCCAACAGGGATCTTGACCACGCAGCCAGAAGAACATGCGGTATCTAGACCACGAAGATCCAAACTTGATGTATTCGAACCGGGTTCTTGACCACGAAACCTCAAAACTTGAGGTAGCACATGAAATAGGGAAAACAAGAGGAATCCCAACCGGGATCTCGACCACGAAGCCATAACTCTTGAGGTATCCCAGCCGGGATCTTGACGACAAATGGGATCTTGGCCACGAAGCCTCAAAACTTGAGGTATCCCAACCGGGATCTTGTCTACGAAGCCACAAATTTTGGGGCATCTCAACCGCGATCTTCATTACGCAGGGATAAAACTTGAGGTAACCCAACCGGGATCTTGTTCACGAAGCCACAACACTGGCGACATCCCAATTGGGATCTTGGCCACGAAGCCACAAAACTTGAGGCATCCCAACCGGGATCTTGCCTGCGAAACCGCAAGAATTGAGGAATGCCGGCCGGGATCTTGACCACGAAGCCACAAACTTGTGATATCCCAACCGGCATCTTGACCACGGAGCTGCAAAACTTGCAGTATCCAGACCACGAAGCCACAAAACTTGAGGTTTGCCAACCTGGATCTTCACCACGAAACCACAAAACTTGAGGTATCCCAACCGGGTTGTTGACTACGACGTGAGAAAACTTGGGGTATCGCAAGCGGGAGGGATGCGTTCGGCCGACATGCAAAGACGCTAGCCGACATGCAGGATTGGCTGACGGAGATGCAAAACATCTTGGCGGCAGACCTTTGCACTTGGCTGCCCGAGATGCAAAAAACTATGTTCTGCTTCTAGTAGTAGTTCGTGGTAAACACTGTTTTTGCATATCGGACTGCCAACCCCAAACATCGGCCATGGGAGTCGAAACATCGGCCACGGGAGTACTATGTGGACTGAAACCGCAAATTAGGAAAATAGTAAATGAGGAGAAGCCTCTGCCACACATCAAGCCAAAATGCGCCCACCACCGTGCGCTGTTGTCCTGACTTTTCATCAATGTCGGTTCAGTGACCATGAGGTTGCTTTGAAATGGTGGAGGATTTGTTGACTTTCACGTTGCAATAGATGCAGTACAAGTGAGGGACGGTGATCACCGTGGTCGCAAGCGCACTTTGGCTCAACAACTCCGAGTGCCTGACGACATCTCAACAGTCACGATGCGTCCTTCAGGACGGCCCGCGTTGCAGCTCGCAAAGCCTCTACATGCATGGTCTCTAGGACTTATGGCTGTCTTGATGGTGGTGTGCGTGGCAAGCTCACCCGAGGCTGAGAGCTGCATGAGCAAGCAAGTGTGGTGTGTGTGTGTGTGTGTTTTGTGTGGGCATGTGCGTGTGCGTGTGTGCAAGTGCGTGTGTTTCGATAAATGGCCTTGGGCTGCGGCTCGAGGACAAGGCGGCAACCAAACTTCAGCGCTGGTGGCGAGCAAGGGGTCCGGCACTCAGGCGGGTATCACGGCCCCAGTCGAGGAGGCCAGCATGGGTACCTGGCGTTTCGTGAGTTGCGGCAGATATCCAAAATGGATCTTCAGGGCACAGGCTGATCCTGGCTGCAGTGCTGGTAGGTGGCGCTTTGTGTTCTCTGACGTTTTGAAAATTCAGGCGCCTCGTCGTCTGGTTTGGTCACGTTCGGTGAAGGAGGCCGCTAGCGGCATGCATTTCGTGTTTTGTGGATCGTTCATTCGTCTACTGGGTCTGCCCCTTTGGGTCGCTTGGCCAGTAGACGCAGGCTCATCAGGAGGCGCCAGCGTGGCGCCCGATGAGAAAGCTGCCTTGCAAACACTTGTGAACACGGTGATGGGTCGCTGAGGCCATCCCATGACCACACCCTTTGCAGCTGGCTGGGCCCTCGTGTTGGTAGGTGACGCCGTGTGTTGTTTGACTGTGGGAGCTGGGGGCGGGATGAATGTTGTCGAACTTCAGGCACCGCGTCTGGCTTGGTCACGTTCGGTGAAGGAGGCCGGTAGCGGCATGTACTTCGTGATCTTCGTGTTCTGTGGATCGTTCATTCGTCTACTGGGTCTGCTGCTTTGGGTCGCTAGCCAGTAGACGCAGGCGCAGCCTCCGGCTCTTCGAGCGGCTCCGGGGTGTTTGGAGGAGCGCGCACGCTGCGGTGTTGCGGAAGATGTGTAGTTGATTCAGCGTGTAAGCTTTTGCGCCCATTGCAACCGGCTGCATCAGACAGCTAATCCTCTGACCCAGATGCAGCAGTGTGTTTCGTAAGCGCCGACGATGGACAGGCGGAGGATCCCTTGTCTCCACGGCTCCGTCCTTTGCACCCGGCTGGGCACCAAAATGAAGAAAGATGACTGTTTCCCAAGCATGGCGGATTCACGCTGAGTGTGATGACCTTGGCCGGATTGACAAGTCCCTAGAGCAAGAACCTACTGTTTCAGCTTGTTAAGAAGGGCAGGTATCACGCGGCCCCAAATCCAAACAACAGCATTCGGCTCTGAGGTGGCTACTTTCTCCCCCAAGGCTGGCATGGGTATCTATAGAGCTTCGTGAGTCGCGGCAGACATCTATCCAAGATGCCTGACAAAACAACTGGAGGAATCATTGAGGAAACGTGTGGCAATGGTCAGGTTCCCGGAATGGATCTTCAGAGCGCAGGCTTGAACTCGAACCTATTCCTCAGCTTACTATGCGTCCCAAAATGCACGAAACACGCACTGCGCGCTATGGTTGGCAGTTAGATGAGAGAGCTGGCTTGTGAACACGGTGATGGGTCGCTGAGGCCATCCCATGACCACACCCTTTGCAGCTGGCTGGGCCCTCGTGTTGGTAGGTGACGCCGTGTGTTGTTTGACTGTGGGAGCTGGGGGCGGGATGAATGTTGTCGAACTTCAGGCACCGCCTCTGGCTTGGTCACGTTCGGTGAAGGAGGCCGGTAGCGGCATGTACTTCGTGATCTTCGTGTTCTGTGGATCGTTCATTCGTCTACTGGGTCTGCTGCTTTGGGTCGCTAGCCAGTAGACCCAGGCGCAGCCTCCGGCTCTTCGAGCGGCTCCGGGGTGTTTGGAGGAGCGCGCACGCTGCGGTGTTGCGGAAGATGTGTAGTTGATTCAGCGTGTAAGCTTTTGCGCCCATTGCAACCGGCTGCATCAGACAGCTAATCCTCTGACCCAGATGCAGCAGTGTGTTTCGTAAGCGCCGACGATGGACAGGCGGAGGATCCCTTGTCTCCACGGCTCCGTCCTTTGCACCCGGCTGGGCACCAAAATGAAGAAAGATGACTGTTTCCCAAGCATGGCGGATTCACGCTGAGTGTGATGACCTTGGCCGGATTGACAAGTCCCTAGAGCAAGAACCCACTGTTTCAGCTTGTTAAGAAGGGCAGGTATCACGCGGCCCCAAATCCAAACAACAACATTCAGCTCTGAGGTGGCTACTTTCTCCCCCAAGGCTGGCATGGGTATCTTTTGAGCTTCGTGAGTCGCGGCAGACATCTATCCAAGATGCCTGACAAAACAACTGGAGGAAGCATTGAGGAAACGTGTGGCAATGGTCAGGTTCCCGGAATGGATCTTCAGAGCGCAGGCTTGAACTCGAACCTATTCCTCAGCTTACTATGCGTCCCAAAATGCACGAAACACGCACTGCGCGCTATGGTTGGCAGTTAGATGAGAGAGCTGGCTTGTGAACACGGTGATGGGTCGCTGCATTTATGAGGCTCTTCGAGCGGCTCCGCTGTGTTTGGAGGAGGTGCACGATGCAGTGTTGTGGAAGATTTGCAGTGAAAGGCCGTGAGAGTCTGATGCAGCGATCAGCTTAAGCTCGTAACATACAGGAGGCCATCCCACGACATCACCTTTTGCAGCTGGCTGGGCCCTCGGACACCAGTGGGTTGCTTTTTGCTGCCAGTGTTGGCAGGTGACGTCGTGTGTTCTCTGGCTGGGAGTCGGGGGCGGGATGAATGTTGTGGAACTTCAGGCACCGCGTCTGGCTTGGTCATGCTCGGTGAAGGAGGCCGCTAGCGGCATATACTTCGTGTTCTGTGGATCGTTCATTCGTCTACTGGGTCTGCTGCTTTGGGTCGCTAGCCAGTAGACGCAGGCGCAGCCTCCGACTCTTCGAGCGGCTCCGGGGTGTTTGGAGGAGCGCGCACGCTGCGGTGTTGCGGAAGATGTGTAGTGCATTGTGGCGAGACTTGATTCAGCGTGTAAGCTTTTGCGCCCATTGCAACCGGCTGCATCAGACAGCTAATCCTCTGACCCAGATGCAGCAGTGTGTTTCGTAAGCGCCGACGATGGACAGGCGGAGGATCCCTTGTCTCCACGGCTCCGTCCTTTGCACCCGGCTGGGCACCAAAATGAAGAAAGATGACTGTTTCCCAAGCATGGCGGATTCACGCTGAGTGTGATGACCTTGGCCGGATTGACAAGTCCCTAGAGCAAGAACCTACTGTTTCAGCTTGTTAAGAAGGGCAGGTATCACGCGGCCCCAAATCCAAACAACAACATTCAGCTCTGAGGTGGCTACTTTCTCCCCCAAGGCTGGCATGGGTATCTATAGAGCTTCGTGAGTCGCGGCAGACATCTATCCAAGATGCCTGACAAAACAACTGGAGGAAGCATTGAGGAAACGTGTGGCAATGGTCAGGTTCCCGGAATGGATCTTCAGAGCGCAGGCTTGAACTCGAACCTATTCCTCAGCTTACTATGCGTCCCAAAATGCACGAAACACGCACTGCGCGCTATGGTTGGCAGTTCGATGAGAGAGCTGGCTTGTGAACACGGTGATGGGTCGCTGCATTTATGAGGCTCTTCGAGCGGCTCCGCTGTGTTTGGAGGAGGTGCACGATGCAGTGTTGTGGAAGATTTGTAGTGAGAGTCTGATGCAGCGATCAGCTTACGTAAGCTCGTAACATACAGGAGGCCATCCCACGACATCACCCTTTTCTTCTTCTGCTGATCCTGCTGCATCATCCTTTGCAGCTGGCTGGGCCCCCAGAGACCTAAGCCCCAAGCTTTGACCCAGCCGCAGCATTCTGCAAGTGGATTCTTTGGCTCCATGGACTCGTGCTTCACGAGCGGCAGGGCACTTGAATGACACGAAGTTTTCCAGAATAAGTACAGATGGCCGACCCTCACGCATGAACACTTTTTCCAACAGGTTTCAGGAGCTTGGCGGAGACTCCAAGAATTCGAGTTGTATTTTGCTGCTGGTGATGGGTGCTAGGGCGCGACGAATGTCTTCGAACTTCAGGCACCCTGTCTGGCTCGGTCTTTCGCACTCTGAGTCCATATACATGCGAGCTGAGCCTCAGCAGTTGACATGCTGGCTGCTGATCTCAGCCAGAAACCCTGTCCACATGGAGCTCAAATTTCAGACCGTTTTGAGACAAAGTTCCACAGCGCCACATGTGACTAGGACTGGCACGACCTTTTCGCAGGAGTACCATTGTAGCAGAATCACAGTGTAGGTAGGTGATTGAGATCGACAAGCAGGCAATAGCAGCAGTACAGGACTAGTACCTAGTACCTTAAATGCATTGTAGGAGCAGGAGGAGTAGTTAGTAGCAGCAGCAGTAGCAATACTACTAGCATCAGCACGAATACGAGTACTAATACTAGTCGATGTGCGGCTCCAAGTTGCCGAAATCCAGGTTTATCAGGAGATGTAGTGTTCAAGTTCGCAATCCAACACGAGTACATCCAGGGCTCGTCGGCTGCTTTACCCGAAGTTCATGAGTAGATGTGAAGCCCCAGCCTTGCAAAACGCAAGTTGAGAAATGGATGAACATTCTGACAATCCAAGTTTAGGAATAGATGCAGGGTTCCAGTGCTGCGACACCTTGTCTTATGAGTAGATGCAGGGTCCCAGTTGTGCGACAGCCAGGTTCCAATGCAGCGAAACCCAAGTTTCATCAAAAGGGATCGGACCTCACGCGCAGTACTCAAATGCCGCACGTGGTTCACACTATTGTCGGGTTGTTCGGGTAAGCAGTACATGGGAGCAATTGGGCGCACTTGCTGGAACCAGGCGCTTTGCAGTTGCGGGGTCGCGGGCAAATTATGAATTTGATTTTCAAATTACGACATTGCTTCTCAGTGCACTTGGATGAAGAGCGTATCCATTTAAGGTGTTGCAAAGGCAAGGTCTGCATTTGTTGCAACATACACAGTAACCTGCTGCTTTGTTGGAGCCAGTTCACCCGTCATAGTCATGGGCTGGGCAAGCCCTGTGAGCTTGAGCCATGCGGAATCAGCAGACACATATCAGCAGACACATCGATGGACAGCAGCCTTGACTGCTTTGTCTCGTCACGGCATTGTACACAACAACAGGGTGGAACAGTGAGGTTGCAAGGACACCAAAACGTAGTTTTGGGCTGTCGCTTCGTTATCGCGTTGATTCTCGGGGGTTCAATTTCAGGACCATTTCGGTGTAGGAAAAAGGTGGCTTGCCTGCACATCTTGTGAGCGTGTGCGCTGGGGGTTTGGTTACTGGGCTTGGAACGCCGACCAAGGGGCAGCGCAGGAAATTGACCTACGTTCATGGTTGCGAAATTACGGAACTAGCCTTTACATGTTCAGGAAGTTAAGAAGGCCTTTGCCTTCCCTTCTCCCGAAGCAGCCTGCACCTGGACCTAGGCTACAGCTGGAATGTGGTACAGTTCTCAGTTCCCAGACCACGTTGTTCCGGAATGCGTTAATGGCAAGCATGCACCAAGTCCTTCAGACCTTGAGATGAGTGAGTCAGCGTCCTCAGCATATTCTGCTTGCAAAGCCGAAGCTGTGTTGCAGTGCCATAGACTTGGTATGTCGCTCCGAAACGCTGCAGGCCAGTCTGGGGCTGCCAAGATCAGCTCTCTTATCTTGTCCTTCTATCCACTTCTGGAGCAACTGGAGAATCTCCTGGTGGATATCCTCGTCTCTTACCAGGTTGCATCCTGCCTCGCCCAGCTCCGCCATCCGGAAGGCTTCCTTCTCCAGTTCGTCTTCCGAGCCAGGCTTAGCCAGAACGATCTCCCTGATTTTCTCGCGTAGCCACCGCTAGGAAGGGAGCTGCGGAAATGCATGGAAAAAACAATCAGGGAGTTCTGCTGCAGGATTTGTTCAGAAAGATCGTCTTGGAATTCATGTGGCTTGGCTCAGAGTTTCACTCGGACGCGACGCCGTCCTCACGAGTAGCGTTGCAGCTTCAACACGCAATAGACAGGCATCATACAAGTTGCAATCGTTTCAGTACCCATCTCCCCTTGAGATGGATTTTGGTTGGGGCGGAAGCAGGTGCATCTTACCGACAGCCCTACTCGCCTGACCTCTTACATCGCTAGCAGTTGACAGCGCGAGCAGGCCGTGCCGACGCCGGAGTCACTGCTTCACGGGCGAATGCCATGCGTTCTCCTTAGCCTCTCGCAATCTGAGTCTGCCATCATGACTGTATGAAAGTGTGCAGACGGAGTAAGGTCCATGGAATTCGGATGGAGAAGTTAACGGAGTCGGTCAATGGTGAGGCACGGCTGCACACCCCCCCCCCCCGGAAATTCACGCGCCGCAAAGACACAGCAGGCATCCAAGTGCTGCAGGTGAGGCATGCCTCATCGACGAGAGGCAGAGGGGTGGCCAAGGCAGGTGGGAAGCGAGCCCCGTTTGGTTTTCCGAGAGCAATTCATAGACAAGTGGTCTGCAAAACCGGCTACGAGTCGTCTTTGAAGGACCTTCGAAACGAAGTCGCTGCCCGATCCCCAGTTTTTGGCAAAGACGGAAGCTTGCAAGGTTGCCCCTGGGCCCTGCAACATGTTGGGCTAGTTTTTCACTCTTGGACCTGCAGGTCCTCACTTTCATCAGCCTGTCGATGCCAACCTCGCTCGTGATCGACATGTTCGGGGCTTTCGAGGCCGAACCTCGGGAAGCCTCACGGAATGGCAGCTCTTCATGGTTCTTCATTTCACCTGTTTCACCTGTCGAGGACATCGGCTGTCTACTTGGTTATTGGCTACTGCGAGGGAGGCCTGGTGCATGAAAGAAGTTCAGAAGTTTCCGTCCCGGGACGCTTGGCTGAAAAACGTCCAGGTGATCTTTTCGATTACGTGCAAAGGGGCGCGGAGGCCATTGAGGTCCGGGGGTTCCTGCGAGAAAGTTGAAATGAGCAGGGTCCCGCTTGCGCGGCATGGCCTAGCGTGGTGGCTTGTAAGGTTCAGCACTTGCACAAGCTCAACATAGGACCTGACCTCGATCTGCTCAAGCCTGTAGATCCTTGCGGTTCGAGTCCAGATGTAGGAAGGAGCCTGTTTGGTTTGTATTTCACCTGCTTTCTCTGCACAACTGCTCGGCAAAGCAGCCTTCGAGTCCCTCGGTCTCTGTTCCCGAATCTGCGCCTCCTCTTGCTTCTATGATTCTATGCTTCACTAACAATCCGCTTCTACACGCTGATCGTCGTTGTCGAGTGCAGGCCTGCGCTGGGGGTCGCATAGCAGCGCAGGGGTTAGTTAAGTCAAAACAGCTGTACATGTGCGCCAGAAAGGACAAATGCAGACACATGAAGACGATGGACAAAGGCATATAATGATGACAAACAAACACAAACCAAGTCAATTTCAGACAAACGAGGGCAAAAGTCAAAACTCCACTGCACCATAATGATGTAGCTACTTGTTTTGTAGCAATGCTTGTTTTATGAGCGTGCCCTGAGCATGCTACTAGTAATGTTGTAAACTGGGGCAATTTGACAACATACGTTCCAAGAAACATGTGCGTTTTAATTGTGCTTGATATCCGCCTCCCACTTGTGAACGGCAATGTGTTAGATGTAGGAATGGCAAAATTGGTGGTGTATCGCCGCGCGAAAGCGGGTGGGTATTGAATGCATTGCCTCGTTGCAAATTCCTGGATCCCCAGACACAGCACAATCAGAAAGTTAGAAGTGAACAGCTCGGATACAGCAAGGGTGGGCACCGTTTTGTAACTTTCCAATGTGGGTGCACGCATAGAATCATCGTTGTGAGAAAGACTTCCCATTGTGGATAATACGCTATAGTCACCCAATTCGAGGAGTATTCTACACTCCCTCATACATCTCCCTCAATATCGCTTCTGCTTCCAACTCTTGCCAGAAAAAACCGATTACCCCATCCATGTCACCATGGGCAAAAATTCTCTCGTTGATGATTCTATATTTGTCATACAAAGTCACGTAGGGAATGTGCTTATGTTGTACTTATCCTTGCCATCCTGGCTAATTAATGACATAAAGCAAAGCTCGCGAACATCATCATCTCCTCATGGAACAGCAATCACCTATTGTGCGCGACGCAAACTTGTCACAATCAACAATTTCTGATAGCTTAGCATCCTATACGAAGCTTTGCATTCAATACTGCACACGTTCCCCTTGGCCGCCGAAATACATGGCACTCGCGGATAGAAAAAGGCTCGGAGAACAGATTTGTCCAGCCTTTGTAACGAAACAAGCTTTATCTTCTGACAACGTCGTGGAAAAAAAGATACCACATCGAAAACGAAGTGCTACTGAACATTTGCACGCGCATCTGCAAAAGGCCGCTAGAAGTCGAGCACAAACGCAGCAGACGGACAGTGTCTCGGAGCGAAACCACAGCAAGAGCGAAGCTTCCTTCCTACCTGACACTACAGAAGAACACAACACAGAAGGATATGCTTTAACCACCTCGGCGTTTGCATTTGCAGGAAGACATAGCACAATGTTGCATGACTTGCCTTGTTCAGACTGACATGCAATTAGACACTGATGCTGCAGTTGCGGACCCAACAAACGTCAAAGAGCAGTAGTGGCTGGGCTTCCACAGCAGGGACTCTCAACAAGTGGGTGGGCATTGACATGGGGCGACATGAGGACACCGCGATTTCTCCTTGGAAAATGCTGGTCTCTCAAGCTCCGCAGAGCATCATGCAGAGTTGCTGTTCCGAAGTTTCGATGAAGGTGTTGCTCCAAAGTGGGAGTTGTGTACTCTGCGATTTCGGCTAGGCCTTGCGCTGCAAAGCTCATTTGTCAGTTCCAATAGCAGACCTGCTTAAACTAAGCATTTTGGAGTGTCTTTGCAGGCTGTGCCATTGAAACGGCCAGATGGATCTGTGCTGCGGTGCCCTTTGTTTCTGTGTTTTTCTCTCGGCGGGGGAGGTGGCAGTTGCAGTGGCATTATCCGCACGGGGATGCGGTTGCTCAGGTACTTTGAAGCAGCGGGGAAGGACATGTACCGTGCCCCGGAGATGAATTCTCCAGAAGCTCAGGCCTGTTGGAGGTCCACTGGTGGCCAGGTGTGTGGACTTGCTGTTTTGGTGCAGGTGATATGCCCGGACACCAAAGCTTGCAACCCGGCGCTGGCACCCAACCAAGTCCGCTTGTGATGTAGCTTTTGGACCAGGATTTGTCCACCATCTAGCGTCCAGCACGCGCACGTTGCACTAGACCCAGCCATCTCTTACCGGCATGACCGCGGCATTGAGCACGGGAAGGTGCAACCATGTGCAACGTGCAAGAAGATGATGTGCAGCTCTTCGGCAGAAACACAGGCAACCGCACCAGAGGCTGCAGATTCAGCACCGCTTGCGCCACACACTACACCAAGACCACAAGAGCAGGATACACTTGCAGCTAGCACTGAGATTGCGGAGGCTGCAGAAAAAACGGCTGCAGGCGTGGTGCCACCTTCACCACCGTCTGACAAGAAAGCCGTCAAGGAGTTGACAGTGCACGGTCTGGTCACACCACCAGATGAACAGCCGGAAGTTGCAAGTCATGCAGCTGCAGAAGCAACGGCGGCAGGCACAGAGCCACTTTTGCCACGCTCTGACTTACGCAAGTCTCGAACAAGCAGACACATGGAGCATGACACGGACGGCCCATGTCCCTCGAAAAGTGCTGCAGTGGGGCGCGCGTGTGTTTCCCGTTGATATCTGCTGATGGTGAGTGCAGAAACTGTGTCGGCTTCATGAAACAACCTCCTCATCGGGATCGACGTGGCTCGAACCAGCATTGACAACATTCAATGTTGCCGAAATTCAGATGCTTCAACACCCAATCCTTGGCCCACAAATATTCGTAGTAGCCAACCCGAATCTCATGCCTTCAGGCTTGCACCACAACCCGAAAACGATCGCACTGACCAAGTACACGTATGAGCAAGCCACCAACAGCTAGATGACGTTGAATGTCAGCAGCAGGCCGGGCGGAAGTGAGGGAAGTTCTCAGGTTGAGGCAGTTTGAGTTGGAAGTTGTTAGGAAGTTTCTACGTCGGAACTTTCTCAGGAGGTCTGCACCGGCTGATTGCGAACCATACGAAGGCACGGCTTCGGTCGTGTGGCGTACTACAGAAGGATGTCACTTGAATCCGAGGACACCCTGGCCTACGTTGTGGGGTAGACATTTCGCTTTTGCCATGGCTGCCTGGGGCCCTGGCAGCATGGGCTTCGGCACAAGTCGTGTTTCTCATTTGGCGAAGTGATTCTGCTGGGCTTTGAGGTCGGTTAGCTCAGTCTCCTCCTGGTTCGCATCCGCGAAGCCAGCAGGGGTGCTGCTCTCGAGCACCTCATCGGCATTTTCGCATTTCGCTCTTGCGCGCTGGACATGCTGTGCATGCTGTTGACAGGCTTGGCACTGGACCCCACGCTGACCTTGCCGATTCTGCCCTGGTCTTTGCTGTTGTCAGCCGACGTTTCTGTGCGTCCATGCTGCATTCTGAATTGCCTTGCTCAGGGCAGGGCTTGG